TTCTAACAAGAGGCTCACCCCTTCCCCGGCCATCTGCCTCTGTGGGTGCAGGAACACAAAGGGTTCCCAGGCCTGCCAAAGCAAGGTACCACAGACGGGGGGCTAGAACAAGACCTGATACTCTCACGATTCTGGAGATTTGAAGTCTGAAATAGAGGAGTCAGGGGAGCCGTGCTCCCTATGAAGCCTGTAGGGGAGGACTCTCCAGCCTCTTCCAGCCCCCCAGGGCTGTGGCATCCCCCCGCTTGCGGCTCACTCCAGCCTCTGCCTAGGCCTTCACATGGCTTCTTCCCGTGTCTCTGTCAAGCTCCTTTCTTGTCAGGACACCAGGTCTGTTGAAGTAAGGGCCTGCCCCACCCCCACCCCTACAACATGACTTCATCTTAACTAATTGCATCTGCAATAACCCCTTTCCCAAATGGGGTCACACTGAGATATCAGTGATTAAGACTTCCACATATCTTTTGGGAGAACACAACTCAACCCACAACAGGTACCTGTTATTGAGCCACAGTGAAGCATAAAGTTCCTGTTGGATTTGACCTTGTCTTTTAGAGAGGCTTCTCCCTCTAAATTAAACTAGAACATTGAGCTGTTTTAAATAAAATAAAAACAACTAAAAATCAGGCCTTTTGTCAGTCAACTGAGAGACCAGGGATCAAACACTTGTTCATCCCATACTTAATAGCCAGTGATCAGTCTGCAAGATGTAAACTTAACAGGTGAATTAGCAGATTACAGTAACCAATCCACTCATCCGTTCGACACAGTCGAGGCCCTTCTGTGCCAGGCACTGTTCCAGGTGCTGGTGACAGAGCAGTGAACCAAAGAAAGCAGCCCAGGAGGGGCTTTCCTCCCAGCTGGGAGACAGGCAGTCAGGAGCGGAGAAAAATTAAGTGAGATGAGGAGTATGATCGGGATTTGCATTTTTAAACAGGGTGGTCAGAGCAGGGTCACCATAAGGTGACAGGCAAAGGCCGGAAGGAGGAGAGGGCTGGGGCGGTAGCACAGCAGATGGTGGAAATTGCTGGGTCCTTGCTGAGGTTAAATGCCTGCTGCTCACCACTTGGGGGAGCAGGGGCGGGGGGTCCCCAGGTCCAAGGAGCCTGGCCCAAAGCAGTGGGACAGTGGAGTCCGGGAGGCCCAAGGGCTCAGCTTTGGACAAGCAGTTTGCACTGTAGCAGTTCTTCAGTCCTAAAAAGAGCGCTCTAATGAAGTGAAAACAGGTTCAAAAAACTGTGGCAAATGGATATTCTCGGAGGTATTTTAGGTACAAACTGTTCGAAATTACCTAGATGACAGCCACAAAGGTGATGAAAAGAATTAAAACCAAGTGTTTACTGACGTGGCCAGCAGGGTTAGGAAAGTGAGCCTGTTAACCCTCGCACCCAGCCGTCTGCTTAAAAGTGGATTCCTCTGGAGGACCGGGGGTCTTACTCTCCACTTGTTTCTCCTGTAGAATTTAATTTTTATTAGCATATGCATATATTCATCTTTCAACAAATTGGCATTCTTAATGTGGTTTTTAAAATCACTGGCTAAGCAGAAGGTAGATTTCTGTGTTCTTACGTAAAAGAATATTAAGACAACAAATGATTTACCTAATATGTATACCATAATTCTATACATGAATATGCATACATGTGTCTATATTTGCACAAAGGGAAAGGTCTAGAAGGATAGATGTAACTTTTAACAATGGTTACCCCTGAAGAGTGAGAATGGACAGGGACGTAATGGGGGAACATTCACTTTTTACAGTATATTCTTCTGCAGTTTTTGCCTAATTAAAGAGAGGACTTACATATGTTTTGATTTAAGGCTAAGGCCTTCCCTATACTTCGCCTCAGGCAGAGCTCAATTAAACCTCTACATAATCCAAACAAGAATTTGTGATATTTCAAATAAACAGGCAGTAGAAACTTTTTGGCCCCCCTTCTTATGCCTTCAAGAAATAACTTAAGTGACTATATAATGACCAACTCTATTAAAGTTGATTTTGCTTTTCCAATTGAAGTGTCAATATAACTAATTTTTAAAAGTTGAGCATGCCTCTTGTAAGAATACAGATGAACACATGACAGATACTTATTTAACTCATGAATGAGAGAACCACCGGGATGGTAAAAGAGCATCTGAGGAACTGCTATTTATGGCCAATGAAGAAAGAATTTGAGACTCAAGTTACGATTTTTTTTATTTAAAATAGTATTACTATTTTTTTATTTAAAAAACCATTTTTTTTAATAGCATCCTGTTCACTCAAACACAAATCACTAGAATTAAAACTGGTCCATGACCTCCAGGAGTATAATGCTATAATCTTTAGGGTTATCCTTTCTGGCAGACAGAAATCATTTGTGTCTCCTTCGGACAAAAATCTTCAGGTTGCATATAATCTCAGTCTGCCTCCTAATCGACAGTAAATCAGAAACTCGAAGCAGCAGCCCTCCAGAATAGTCCTTGGGCGGCTCTGTTGAGCAGAGTTCAGTACAATACTGAAGGGACATGCAATCCTCCTTTTCTCTTTATTTATAAATGCTGGATACATTTTCTTAACATAAGATACAAATTTACATATTGGCAGCTTTCAACTTTCCAAATGGAGTTTGCTCTTAATATTACTCTACTTTTCACTGTATTTTGTGTCTGTTTTCAATCAGGAAGGAAAATTACCAGTAATCCTAGAATTGCAGCAATGTTCCATTATAAAAACTAAGTATGTTTTAATATTGTTTTGGTACTCACCTTGATGGGTATGAAAACATCTATGAGAAATTTAGGAGCAATTTAAATTTTGTATTAAGACAAAAATAAAGTCCACATATCTGGTTTGAGTTGATGCCAGCTATGAAAAAACAATTGACACTAACTGCAGTTTCTAAGTTTGTATTTTGCACCTAATGTTGGGCAAGTTACCAAATTACTTAGCCTCAGCTTCCTCCTCTGAAAAATTAGACCTTCTTCAGGGCACTATACCATGTGTGACTACATAAAACTAGGACTGTACTGCACACTCTCATTTCACTGTCATATGCATATTTATAATTTCTGCTTTTTATCTTCAAGTTTTTTTTTAATCACTTGTCTTTTGCTACATGGATGTGTCCTTTCATCTTCCTGTGATTTAAAAAAAATGTAAATGATGCTTTTTAATCTTACCAATTGTTTTGTTTTTCCCCAAAAAGTTATACTGTATTTCTCATCCTTCTTTCCTTTTTGTAAAGACTGGTGTTTTCTGAAGTACCCTAACATTAGATGTGAAGTTTAACAAAGGTCTTTCTTATTCTGACCAAATACCACTTTAAACTGGAATACCTTTCATAGAATTGTCACATTTTTAGAAACATAGAAAAACACCAAAACATAAATTTACCTAGAACTGTTACAATTACATACCTAGCTCACAGAACAACCATGCGGTTAGCTTTTCACTAAGCTCTTGAAAAGGTATATGATGTGTTGTCAACCATTTTTTTAAGTAGCATCCTGCTCAAACACAAATAAATATGCTATAGAAAGTGAAATTTCAACATCATAGCCTCAGGCAGAGACATAGTCTCCCATGTACTCAGCACAGGTTGGAATCATGCTACTTGAATTGGATGAAAAGTGTAGAGGCAGTAACTCCCCCCGTCCATTCTGGGTGCGCACTGTTAGGTGTTTTGAAGCACTTTCATGTGTAGCCTGTAATTTGCCCAAAGGTGTTTTTTCCCGTGTTACAACTTAAGTACAGTTTGCAAGAAGACCAGGAGACCCAAAAAGCTTGAAAAGTTTTAAAAATGGTACACAAACTCTGAATATACTTAGAACCACTTAATTGCACACTTTAAGGGGTGTATTGTATGACATGTGAATAATTATCGCAAAACAGCTTTTTTCTAAAATGGTACAGAAAGAAAAAAATGAGTATAGCAAGCATTCATGCCATTACCAGTTATGTAATTGTAACTGTAATTTCAAATTGTTATTTATATAAACCTTTTTCATTGTTCAATTAATATGTTTTTCTATCTGTGAAGAGTATTTGGGCATCCTGGGTTAAAATGGAAGTCATCATTTTTCCAGTTAAAAGTAATGGGAACTTCTTTTCACTTAATGGCTTTTTACTTAGCAGAAGCATTGTCAGAGACAAAGTTGTTATGCAAGAGAGAGATTTAATTACTTAAAGCTTTGAGTAATTTTTAAGGAGAATTAGACTTGGCAGAGATGGAGATGTTGAGACGAGTATCAATATAAATGTTGCTGAATTGATTTGACCTGAGTGGCAGGCTTGAAATACATTACGTGCATTGAGAAACACTTAAGACCTGCAAAATGGCAGAGGTTCAAGAACATGTATACAGTGCTGGAAGGGTAGAGAGGTCAGTGGAAGACAGAAAAACCAAAGAAGATACAGAAAAGAGCAAATCGATAATGACTAAAAGTTGACTTGGAAATTTCGTTTCCTATTGTACCAGCTGGACTATAGTTTGCTATTATAATAAGTCCATGGGTTTCATTCAGTTCTGGATTTCAGAAAAAAAATAACTCCCTGCTTTTCAACTAACATAAGAAATATATTCTAAGCTCAAAAGTAACTTAAAGCCATTTAATTTATCTACCTTATTTTATAATAAACCACAGTTTTCTTCCTCACTGTTGCAGAGAGAAAACCTGGAAAATGATACAGCTTGGGTACTTCTCTAGTAGTAAAAGGAAAGAGCTCAACAAATACTGAACTATGGGAAATGTGAACAATAGCAAACACAAAAGACGATCTTGAAAGCACACAGCAAAGGTATTTTCCAATCAGAAATTTGGAACCTGAATGTGTAATGCCTAGAGTTCTGAAGAAGAATAATGATGAAAATATATTATTCTTTAATTATTTCCAATAACTTATGAGAAAAATAGTGTCTGGGTTCTAATCAACAAGTGCTAATTCGGAACTTCAGCGATTTTTTTTTCTGATAAAACATGAAGAAATGTTGAATAAAATCCCACAAATCAAATGAACATTTTTAACAAGTTTTTCTTTCATATTACATCTGATCCCAGTCAAGAGTAAGGAAGAGAATATGAGCCAAGAGAAAATAAAGTTATTGAAGCTTATTTTAAGTGTTTGATATTCTGGGTAGGACGTCTTTAAGCTTTCTCAAGGTCGTGGGACCTGGTTTTTTAAATACAATTTTTCTTAAGGGAGATTTTTCTACATTTTAATGCAACTTTATAAATTCTTTTAAAGACATTTCCAACAAAGATAAGTCATCTTGGAAAATGTGAATAGTTCCAGAAACACAGAGACTTTGAGTTTCCTTTCAAACTTCATTACCTTTTAATATTCATTCACCTGCAGCCCAAATTCTTCCTGCATGTTGCCAGATATTATTTATGAACTACAAACTGGGAGATTATTTCTTCTGCTTCATGAGATCACTAAAACACAGAAAATAACTTTGAAGGCTGATGATGGTGATTGCTTCTTGGGCCACAGAAGTTACTGTGCCATCAACTAAATGTTGATGACAACAATCCTTATTGTCATTATCCAGAGAAAGAAACTGTGTTCAGTATTGAAATCTTAAGCTATCTTATCAGTGATTTCTAGACAAAATCAAGAAGCTGAATTCTTTCTAAGTCCTCTCATCTAGGACATGTGTTTACTTTTAGGCCCAAATGTTATGTCTCCCTAGCTTACCTCTATGAAATAGCTTTGCTCTCAAAGCAAATGCCATGGGAAGAAAATGAGCAGGGGACTTTCTTAGATTAAAAGAACTCAAACAGACGTAACAATGAAATGCAATGTAACTTGACTGACTCCAAATCCAGAAATAAAAATTTAAGCAAGACATTTTGGAAACAACAGGGTAAATTCAAATATGGGCTGAGTATGGATGATATTATGGAATCAATAATTTTATTAGGTATTATAATGGTACTGTGGCTATAAAGGAGGGTGTCTCTATTCTTAGAAAATGCTAGCTGAAATATTTAGGGGTAAAGAATTGTGTTATCTGCAACTTACTTTCAAATGGTTCAGTAACAAGTTACATATTTAAATATAGAGAAAGTAAATGTGGTACAATGTTAACAACTGGTGAATCTAAGTCAAGTGTTTATAGGTGTTTCATTCTAGTATGCTTCAACTTTTCTGCAGATGTAAAATTCTTTAAATGAAAGTTGGGAATAAAAAATGGCAAAAAAAAAAAAGTTTCACTGAAGAAAATGCCATACATTTCTTTAAGAATTTTACTATAAGAGTATACAATTATACACTGATATTACTTATTTACACTTTATAACAGGCACACATATTCTACATAGTTACTCAATCTGAAATTAACTACAGTCTCTTTATCTTAAACATAAATCAAAACAGCTCAATACCTCCTTGAAATTAGATGCAATGAGATGCCAGGTGTAAGGACGATTAGTTAATATTTCAAAAAATAAGTTAAAACTTCCAATAATTTTTTTCAATAATGTCTTCTTTGTTTTTCTTCTTTGTCTAGAATAGTCTGTTTTAGGCTCAAAGTAGCATCTTGAAATCCAGGATTTAAGTCTAATACCTTCTTGAACTCTTCCAAAGCATCATCAAAGTATCCTGTACGAGAACCCAAAAAATGGGAAAGAGAATAAAAGCTGAGTGTTTCTATATGTTATTCATAACAAAGGTTGGATACACAGATTTTTTGCTTTTATATTTACAACATTTCAACCACTCCTAGTAAAGGAATTTTTTTCTCAAAATCATGTTGCATGCCCTTAGAGAACAATACACTTAAAATTAATTCTGGGTTTACTTGTTGACATTTAACAGGCAAATAGGAGAGATCATCATCAAATGTCAACCAAATTATATCACCTATTTTCCATAATTACAGTAAGATTTTAAAACTTATTAAAAAGATATTAATCTTCTTAACACTTTAAAGGAGAAATAGTGTCTATGGTCCTTTAATCCACAGAACTAAAACCCCTTCATTTCCTATTGTCTCCTGTGCCTTTAAAAATTTTTAGCTCAGCAAAAGATGCACAGGTGGTCCTCAGCATTACCCTCATTTCACAGCTGGGAAGGCACGGGCACAAAATAACGGGGTCACCTGCACTCCAGCGCCCAGGTCCAGTCCCCACCCCAGTGCTCCACTGTGGTCTGAAATGGCCATCAAAAGCCTAAAATAAACTCAGGTTTGCTTCCTTTGTTCCAGGCTCTAAACCTAAATTTCACATAACTTTAAGGCTTGACAATCCTACATTAAGTATATAACACTGGAGAGCTGTGAACTCATAGAACACAAAGACAAAAGGGAAAAAATTTTTCTTACCCAGCCTATACAATATCAACCCTCTGTTGTAATATGGAACTTCAAAATTGGGTTGGACTTCTATGGCAGATGCGTAGTCATCCATGGCTTCATAAAAATCAACTCTGAAGTACTTGATTTGCCCCCTGTTGTTATATGCAATAGCCAAATCCTCAGGGCTGTATTTGCATTAAACAAGAAGTTCACATTAAAAACACTGTTACCAAATTCCACTCCTTTCCGCTTTCATTCTCTTTTGGGTATTGTCAAACTTCATAGCCTATAACACATAGTATCTGCACGGAAAAACCACACTGAAGAAACAAAGTGCAAAGAACTAAAGCGATAGGATCCATTTTTGTTTAATCACATTGTCTATGTTTGCATGGTGACCGCTCTACAATGTCAGTCCAAAAAGTGTATTAACCTTACAGTGTGTTCAAAGCCCCTGTTCATTGCCAACTTGTTTTAGTAAATATATTTAAATGTTTGTTCACTTTCTGAGCACAGACCAGCCTGGCAAAGAAGACAGATCAGATTCACTCTGAGCGAGGAGGGAAAGCCAGCTCAAAGTTCAGGTTTGCTATGCGCATGTCACAAAGGGAATCATCAATTTCATTCTGGGGACAGAGTTGCCCTCCCTCCAGTCTCAGTGGGGCTCTTCCGCAAGGCCAGACCGGCTTCCTGCTCAGGAGGGTATCAAGGCCCTGGTCCACTCTAGGGGGAACCTTTGCAGATCAGCTCTGCATCTGAGGGTTCCTGAGGCTACCCAAGGAGCTTCAAGCAAGCCGACTGTACTGTAAGGGCCTGGACACCCAGGCAGCTCTGACCAGCCACCAGCTCAGCAGGTCACAGTGAGACAGGGACCATAGATGTAGTCAGAGTAGGGTGAGGGCCTCCGGAGGGGACAGAGCAGGATATTTGCAGTCAGAGCAATATAACTACATGCAAGGAAACCCCCCTACTAAAACTCTATGTTAAACATTGAGCTCTAGAATCATTCTTCAGTGAAATCAGTTAATGTTCCTCAGATAAAGAGTAGCACATGTTTTATTATGCTAATCATTTGTAACCATGTGTAAGATTCACTTTAGCATGCTAAAAGGCCCGGGCCTATGTGCTGTCTTTCCTCCTTCAGATCTGACGAGGTGATTCTGCAAACTGAGCAACTTAGCCTGCAGTCCCAGCTGCAGACGACAGGGTAAAGGGTAGGAAGAATTCCATCTTAAAGATAAGACTGCATTTTAACACCCACGAAGTTCAAGAGGCAAGATTCTTTAGCAAGTAGACAATACCTCAGCCCACCTTGGGGGCTGGGCAGGCAGCCTTTTGATATGCTCCCAGACTAAGACGCCGGTGTCCCAGAGAGAAATCAAGGCAGGAAATTCCTTACAGTTAAGTTAATTTTTAATATTCAGGGACCACTTAACAAGTCCCTACCCCTAAGTTTTTTCATGTTCTCGAGAAATCCTCAACTGCCTATAAAACCCCCTAGACAACGTACCACTACGGACTCTCTAGTCCCCTCCTGGCGTGAGCCGGGGGCTCTGTCCTTTCACTTTATCTCTAAATAAAAGCCTGTACCTTGCTCTCCTACCTTGACTGTTTGTGAAGCTCATTCTTAGGCTCCGCAAACAAGAACCCCGGCATCAACAGCCCTCCTCTGTCCCCGCTGCCCTACTGGGCAGATCATTTGCACAGAGCTCTTCTGTCAGAGGCAATTCTGTTTTCCTTTCTTTTTTCCCAAAGGGATTCTCAAATTTGAACCAAACAGAATTGAAGTATACAAGTACAGTCCTGAGAAAACATGCGACTGCAATCAGTGACATTAAAAGTTACTTCTCTTAACACTTGACCCTTAATCATAGAAAGGGACTGTAACCACTGCTGCCACGAGAGGTACCCACAGCCTAGGAGTCCCCTTCAAGGAACAAATATTTAGACAATTTATGCTTCTGTGAGTTACCAATGAGAGACATCAAGTACAAGGCTACTTCCAGATGCCACCGGTAGCACTGTTAAAACCTAGAGAATAAGAGGGCACACTGCCTTCAACTTTGTGATATCAGGTGATACCCTGTTATGATGTCCAGTAAACAGTTTTAAGAAAAATGCAGCTTCAGGACTCCAGTAAGGTTTTAGTCATTAAATTTCAAAGCTTCAGAACTCTGTAATACATTTTTTTATGTTCGGAGGAAGATAGAATGTTTGATCTAGAATTAGATGTCATTATAACAAACATCAAGTCTACTTTTCATGTGGGAATTCTTTCATATTTTAAAGACATAGCTAAGTATTAAAGATAAAAGATTTTTGGTAATATTGAGGTTTTTGTAATGATAGTATTTTCCACAATGGAATTTAACATGGTTACTGAAGGGCCCCCACCAGTAAGATGGCGAACTTCCAGCTTCTCTTCGGGGTCCTCGGTTCCCGCCAGCACCACCTGAAGCCTAATCACCTCTCGCCCCCCTCCCAATCCCAGCACCTAGCCAACAGTCACCAGCCCCGTAGAAGTGACACCACAATCACCCCATGCCTCTTCCTATATAACCCAGCACCTTTCCCCAATAAAGCGGAACTCTCCGGTGAATTGCTGCTGTGTGTCGCTCCTTTCCTTTCATTGGTGCCGAAACCCGGGAGACGGGACACCCCAACTGGGCCCCATCTTCCCCCCAACACCAGCAGCAGCTTGCCCTCGTCCTCTTTTTCCGGGGCTGGCTCATCACACTCACCACTCCTCTCTGGCCTTTAGGTAAGTTTTCCCCCCAGAGTGGGCCACTCTCCCCGGAGCTATCACAGTGCCATTGACCGTGATGGTCTGGCAAGGTTCTGACGCTCGGGGATGAGGAGGGAACTCTCCCCGCCTCCGGCCTTCACGGCTGCGGCAGACCCTCAGGCCCCTCCTCCAACAGCCATAAATGAGGTGACTCCTTTGCGGATGAGAACGCTCCCTTTTTTCCCCCCTCCTCCTTCTGTTCCATCTGCCGAAATCCGTTCTGTCTGCCGAAAATTCCTAGTGCTAGGTACCTCGTGACTCCGGCACTCTGCCTTTTTAGGGAAGTCTGGGTGACGACCCACACTTCCTAAGAAACTCCGACTCGTATATGAGTTTCCGCAGACCACCAAGGATCATCGGGGACGCCCTTTGTCTCCTTGCGGTCTGCTTCCAGTCCGAGGATCTCCGCTTGTCTTCCCCTGTTTGTCTCCTTCTCTGTCCTTCAGCCATGGGAGCCTCCTCATCCCTCCCTGAAAGTTCACCTCTTGAATGCCTGCTTAAGCATCTGGCTACCCTCTCCCTGACGCCTGATATAAAACCAAAGCTTCTCCGTAAATACTGCTCCCAAGATTGGCCGACATACCCCCTAGACAATAACAACCAATGGCCCGCAGGGGGAACTCTTGATCCTAACATCACTCGCAATCTCTTTAACTACTGCCAGCGCCTGAAAAAATGGAAGGAGATTCCCTATATCGAAGCTTTTCGCCTCCTAGCTCAAAATCCCAGCCTCTGCACCACCTGCTCCCCGCCCCAAGTTCTCCTAGCCTGCAAGCCGTCTCCCTCCCCTCCACACACTCCCAGTCCCTCTTCAATTACCTTTGACCCGGCCGACGAGCCTCCGCCATACAGACTTCCCCCTTCAGCCCCTCCCCCTCCTACAACCCCTCCCCCCTCCGCCGCCGCTGCCGCCTCTTTCCCCATGGCAGAAGCCTCCCGTCCTCTCCCTTCCCCTTCTTCTCCTACAACAGCCCCCCCCCCTTCCTCTACCGCCGCCACCGCTGCCGCTTTCCCCGCAGCAGAAGCTTCCCATCCTCTCCCTTCCCCTTCTCCTTCTACAACAGCCCCTCCCCCTTCCTCTACCGCCGCCACCGCTGCCGCTTTCCCCGCGGCAGAAGCTTCCCATCCTCTCCCTTCCCCTTCTCCTTCTACAACAGCCCCTCCCCCTTCCTCTACCGCCGCCACCGCTGCCGCTTTCCCCGCGGCAGAAGCTTCCCATCCTCTCCCTTCCCCTTCTCCTTCTACAACAGCCCCTCCCCCTTCCTCTACCGCCGCCACCGCTGCCGCTTTCCCCGCGGCAGAAGCTTCCCATCCTCTCCCTTCCCCTTCTCCTTCTACAACAGCCCCTCCCCCTTCCTCTACCGCCGCCACCGCTGCCGCTTTCCCCGCGGCAGAAGCTTCCCATCCTCTCCCTTCCCCTTCTTCTCCTACAACAGCCCCTCCCCCTTCCTCTATCGCCGCCGCCGCCTCCACCCCCGCAGAAGCCTCCCATCCTCTCCCTTCCCCCTCCTCCACCATCTCCTCCTGCACCTCACCACCTCCTCCTCCGTCCCCCTCACCTTCCCCCCTCCCGCAAATCGAGCCTGAGCCTTTCAGCCCCCCTCTAACTAAGTTCCAAGAGCCTCGTCCGTCTTTGCCCCCTCAGATTCGGTCCCGAGAGCCTCCCAAAATTATCGCGGCTTTGCCCCCATCACCTGTTTCCCCCGCACAGACTGAGCCAGAACCCTTCAGTCCCCCTCAGACTCGGTCCCGAGGGCCTCCCAAAATTATCGCCCCCCTCCGGGAAGTAGCAGGATCCGAAGGCATCATGCGCGTTCACGTCCCTTTCTCCTTAGGAGATTTAGCCCAACTAGAGAAACGCCTAGGTTCCTTTTCCACTGATCCCACGACCTACATCAGGGAGTTTCAATGGACCCTCCAGTCTTACAGCCTCACGCATCATGACATTTTCATGCTCCTGGCCAATACTCTCCTCCCTGAGGAGCGTAGACGAGCTTGGGACTTCGCCCAAATGCATGCTACCGAAACCCACAGGACTGACCCCACCTGTCCCCCTGGTCCCACTGCTGTCCCCGAACAAGACCCACACTGGGATTATAACACCGCTGTGGGTCTCCACTCTCGAGATATTTTTGCCTCCTGCTTAATAGCAGGTCTAAAAAAGGCAGCTCGTAAAGTAGTCAATTTTCAAAAGCTCCAAGACATAATTCAAAAGAGAGACGAAACCCCCTCCGAGTTCTTAGATAGACTCACTCAAGCCCTATTACAGTATACCAGCCTGGACCCAGAAACACCTGAAGGAAGACATGTCCTTATGACATACTTCCTAGCTCAAAGCTACCCCGACATTAAAGCTAAACTCAAAAAGTTAGAACAGGGCCCCGCTACCCCACAGACTGA